CTAATAGTATATTTCCACATGGGTGCAGAGGCGGCACCCTCAAAATGAATCCTTTTGAAATCCAGGAGGGAGCTACTCCCATTCAGGTCTACTGAGGGTGGAGATGCAAGTGTTCACTGGTCCCATATCATAGGATGAAAGGGTTTTAGCATTAGAGTGGGGCTCAACCGCCCTGCTCCATGCAGGACATTCAGAGCTACAATATCCACAAACAGTCCAACTTCTGCTTTGAAGCCTTCCAGCAAGGGAGAGGTTCCCTCGCTCCACTGGGGATACAGGAAGAAATGCCCATTTTTACTGAGAAGGAAGTTCCGCTGCTATCTGCATAGACTTCAAGCCGCAGCGCCTGAGGATGTAAGTGTTCAGGTTTCCTTTGTATGCGCTGCGTGTTGCAAGCACTGTAAAGCTGCAATCCTGTGCGCACTTGTCTGAGAGGAAGCCCCAACCACCATGGGACTGAGTTTACTTCTTAGTTTACTCAGAAGTAACATGCACCAGGGGCTGCCATGCCGGTGCCAGCATCTCTGTCTCAGTCAGCACCACACCTGCAGTCCTGACATGCTTGGCAGGTTGCTGTGGAGAAGGAATGAGATCGCGTCGGTGAATTCTTTTAGACGCTTTAAATAAACCTATTTATTTTGCCAGCTATGACAAGTATTATTCTACTTTTGTGCTTTCAGGATTACATAATGTAGGCAGAAACCTGCTACTCTCATGAAAGAACACCTATATGTACAGAACCGTCAAAGATGCCTCCAGTCCTCGCGTTGTCTGATCCGCTCCCCTTTCCTTGTGTTTACAACGCGGGATTTTTGACGCTTCTTTATTTCCTCGGCTCCTTTGGCTTTTGGAGCCCAGTAGATAAATACCTTAGAATAGAAATAGCCCCATCAATGAAAAAAATGTCAACAAAACATACAATGTAAGGGAAGTGAGCAGAACAACTCTACCTACTAATTCTCCAATTAGAAACCGTAATGGCCACCATCCAGTGCATCGTTCATGTTCCATATAGCACAAGCCTATTCGTGTCTACTGAGAAGTAAATCCCGTTGAGTTCAATGGTACTTGCTGCCTAGTACGGTAAGTGTGTATCGAATTTCCAAATTCTTTGTTCGACTTTGGCCATTCCATTGAAATCATGCCACACTAAGCATAATAACTCAGAAGCGCGTCCCCCGACTTGAATGGGATTTGTTCTTTCCGAGGCTCTATTGGGGACCTGCAATCTCATATCCGTTGAAAATATGCTCAGTTTACTTCAGAAGTGTAAAGAGGATACATTCGGGGGGTCTTCAACACCAGGGCTGGGGGGGGGACTTTTTTCAGTCCCAAGGGCAGCGTTTCCTCATGAGCAAACTGTCCCGGGGCAACGTGGCCCTTCTGGGCATTGTCAGAAGTACAGAGGAGCCACAGGTGTGACTCTCACCTTTGTTTTCCACATACAGACACACATATCTCATCCAGGTAAGCTGCTTGGCCTCCTCACACCTCAGGGTCACATTCCAGCCAGGCAAAAGCACCAGAAGGGATTGTGGATCGGAAAGAGGTGTGGCCTAGGAAAACTCGGAGGCCAAATAGGGAAGCCGGGAGGGCTCCATTTGGCCCTGACCTTGAGGTTCCTCCACCACTGTTCCTCATACTCTCCCAGTTGGGTGTTAGGATGTAACTCAGGTTTCACTGTAGGCTGACCTGGCTGCATGCGAAGGATAGGTGGAGAGGAACCTCCAATCTTTAGAGACTCTCCCCCTTGTGACGACCTATTGATCTTCCTTCCCGATACTCTTGTGGTTGCTGGCCTCATGTCCTACTTTGTCTTCTTCTCTTCATCCCCACCTTGGGAGAGGAGACAGCTTTGTGTATGTCTCCTGCTGAGAACAAAGGGCAAGCATGGCTCTTTGTCTCTCCGCCTCAGTTAGATAAAACATAGCACCTTTCCTATAAAGCATGTGTTCCATTCAAACATTGGTGGTGGTGCTTGAGATACCAGACAAAAAAAAACCATCCTCAGCTACCAGTACTCCCAGTGCCATATCTAGAACCTGTTAATCTAAAGTTCTTTCCATGTGAGCAAAAATTACACTTCATCTCACAGTCTAATCCCTGGGTCTAGCTTTGGAACGGTCTGCTTAGGAAATTGGGTTTCCTTTTTGTTGATATCCGTCTGTCTGGGAAAACAATGGAGGAGTGCGCCTTTGGGGGCGAAGTCAAACTGTTGGAAGGTTGCACCGCCTGCTGTGGCTGTAGAGTCTGATAAGGGAGAGACATGTCTTGTTGCAGCTGGGGTAGATGAAGGCGTCCAGTTGTGCTGCTGCAGATGCAACATGGCGTTACTTATCTCTGTGCTTCTCCCAGCAGACATTTATCCTCTGGTCATTGCTATGGATACACGACCTGACTGTCTGTTTCCTTGCCTTTAACTAATTAGGTGGTGTGCCCTGTGCAAAATGTAAATAGTCCCTAGTCAAATGCTTAGGGAGTTTGGCTAAAAAGAAGTCCCCCTTGATTCAGTGAGGCCTGCTCCCAGGACAGCGTGCACAGGATTGCAACCTCACAATATAATCCTAGACATGTTAGAGTCCACGTAAGTCTTAGGAGTCAGTCCCATTTCCCCCCCTCAAGGGTAAAGCATGTATGCTGTATTGCAGCCTTAGAATTTGAAAGGGACACGCGTTGCCTAAATGAGACCCTCACTTGGCATTAAAATGCCCGGGGGGGGGGGGAGTTGCGGGAATACAGTTTCGCTTTAACATCACACACCTAGCGGGAGGTAAAGGGGTTTTTTTTTAAGTGATGTCAGCAGAGAAAACAGAAGAGCACAAAACGGCTGCCTGCGAAGATCTGCAGGGTCATCTCGTAAGTGTGTCCAGTTTAGAGAATCCACCACCAGGTTCCCAAATCATTAATCGCATTGAAAGGGGAATCATGGAATCATAGAACTGCAAAGTTGGAAGGGAATCCGAGGGTCATCTAGTCCAACTCCCTGCAATACAAGAATCTCAACTAAATCATGCATGGCAGATGGCCGTACAACCTCTCCCTAAACCACTCCTCTCTACCCTAAGAGTCCCGATGCCATTGGAGTCTAGAGCACATTTCACTAGTGGGTAAAGGATGACAGAGAGTTTTCTAAATGGGAGATCTGCTGAAGTTGAAAATGCAGTTTTAAAGACTTCTTTTCATACTATTTATCAACTTATAAATGGCCAGACATTTTTGGGGTGCTCCCAATACTCCTGAAACGTGCGGAGATGATGCCCGCATCTCTTAATAGCATCCTTGAGAAGCAAATGCAAAACCCACCCCCACATCTCTCTTTTTCTGGCTGTCAATAGCTCGTAACCACAGGGGCTATCTTTTGCTTCTGCTGTCAGAGACCGTATGCCTCTGGAGGTAGTTGCTGGGGTTCTCAAGTGGCCAGAGGGCTGCTGCGCTCAGGTCGGCTAGCTGCTTTCCCATAGGCACCAGACTGGCAACTGAGACAACGGGATGCTGGACAAAATGGACCATTGGCCCGATGCAACAGGGCTTTTATTCTGTTCTCTCTCGTTATCTGACACTGAATAGCAAGCGTCCTTACTCTTTCTTTGGGCGAAGCATTGGTAATGGTCAATCCTACCCCGTTCTGGAGATAAGGAAAGGGGCTGCTGGGGTCTCGGTTGACCTGAGATTTCCCCCGCGGCAGAATGAAGGGGTAAAGTCTCGAGGTGTCTGAGAGATGTGTAGGTCACTTAAGGGGATGGACAATGCCACACACACACATATATATAAGCGAGCGAGTATCCAAACCTTCCTTACACACGGTGGAGAAAGGTTTTAGCCCCATCCTTATTCTCAAGATTCACTTGCAGGGAGAGTATCACGTGGGAGAGCACTAACACTTGGTATCCCACCTGCAACCTGAAGTTAGACGCCCTCGGCTCTACTATCTCAGAAAGGCTCCACCTCCGACTTCCCCACCGCGTCCTCCTACATTTATAAGACCAGTATGGAGAGTCCTGAGGAAACACCACTCACATCGCCATTGGAGAGCCTCCTCGCCAGAGCTGAGCCCCGCTAAAGTAGCTTCCTGAAACAAGTCTGAACTGATGGCGGAGGGACAAGGGGCTCTGGAGCATGAATGAGTGCACCACTCAGCCACTGGGTCTGAAATCAATGAGACCTATGGACTCTCCTGGAGCGTGTGTCTACCTAGTGTGGCCTGATCGTGGGCCCCTGATCGGTATGAACAGCAGGTCAGGATAAAATAATAGGCCTGCCTCTGGGTGCTTCGCTTTGTTTTATGACTCTAGCTCGCTTTCCAGCCGTCCTTTTTTGCCTCTTACTCATTTGGCAATGGTGGGAGAGGACAAAGAGTCAGTGTACTGTGGTAGTTGCAGTGTTTCCCAAACTTGGGTCTCCAGCTGTTTTTGAATTGCAACTCCCATCATTCCTAGTTAGCAAGACCAGTGTCAGGGATGGTGGAAATTGTAGTCCAAGAACCCAAGTTTGGGAAATACTGGAGAGTACTGTATTGAGTTAGGACCTGGGAGACCAGGGTTCCAATCCCTCACTTAGCCATGAAGCTCACTGGGAGACCTTGGGCATAGCCAGGATTTATGGGGGAGCAGGCTTTATGTTGTGAGGAGCAGAACCGAGATATCTGCGACACAATTGTTCAGTTAGTTAAGTATTTTCATTTATTTACTTGGTTTATTGGGGCAGCTGCCTCCCTCACCTCCCTGGCTACGCCCATGCCTTGGGACAGTCACGTGCTCTCAGCCCGACCTACACCACAGGGTTGTTGTGAGGATTAAATGAAGAGATGGAGAACCGCGCAGGCCACCTTGAGCTCCCGGGAGAAAAGGTGGGATAGAAATACAATAGACAAATAAACTAGGAATCAGACCCCGTTAAGACTTTCATCTGAACACTTCACGAAGCTAAGAGAGAGAGAAACAAAAACTCCACCCGAAAGAAGAGGGAAAACACTTGTCTGTTTGTATGTTTTCTTTTATATTCGCTCTCAAGATTCTTCCACGCTACGCCTAACAGAAGAAATCTGTGTCCGTTGTGTTTGTTGCTTTTTGCCGTTGGGTGCCTTTCCCGCTCTTCGGAATAATTTTTTTTCCTGCCTTCTCCTGCTAAAGACATTTCTTTCGTTCCGTTTTTCCTGACGTCCCTCCGCTTTGGGCGTCATCATCAGTCTTTTTGCTCATCAACATCGTCGCTCCTTCCTCCGCGTTACCTGAAAAGAGGAGAGAGGACATATCCCAATAACAGGCACCTCGCAATATTCCCTAGAGCAGGCGGGTGGAACTTTTGGTCTGCCAGATGTTACTGAACTACAGCTCCCATCAGCCCCTGCAAAACTGGCTAATGCCCATGGATGATGGGAGTTGTAGTTCCGCAACTCCTGGCGGGGCCGAAAGTGCCGCACACGCCTACTCTAGTCTACTGAGCGCGCTGTTTCCTCTAAAGAAATGTGGATGCAGATCGTGGAATGAACCACAAAGGAAAGGTACGAGCCGCTTCCCGGAAATCAGTCAATAAATTTCCAAGTAGAGACTGCGAAACAGAATATATGGAGATCCAAAGGGAAGGCGGCAGAAATGCACCCTAGAATCCAATACTTTGGGGGTGGGCACACCTAATAAGTCAATTGGTGTTCAATAAAAGGCGCTCAGAGCAGATTTTAATCGCTCGAGGATGTTTAAGCACTCACAGCGAAAAGAGAGCTCTAAGTTTAAATCGCCATCCTAAAGTGTGGTGGGGAGGGGATGCAAACTCCTGGAAGAGTGCTTCCACGTGACCCTGCAAGCACCTTTCCAGGCGCATGTGCGAACGTCCTCGCTAGGTTTTAGAAAGCCCCGGGCTTTTTAAGGGAGCTTTCACACCTGACACAAAAGTGCATTTGGTTGTTCTTCCACTCAAATCTATTTTTGCCTCACTAGTGTGAATTGTGTTAACGTAGGCTAAGGAAGCATAGAGCCGTTTTAAAAACCGCTCTGAGTGGCTACGGTGGGGGCTCACGTTTGGTTTACAGACCAATTTAAGGTAAAACGGATTTAAGACTCAGACATGGACGTGTCCCTTGTGTCACAGGTGCGACTGATAAAGTCGGAAGCAGATATTTGTCACCAGGTACACAGGAGGTGGGGAACACTGGCCAATCCTGGCAGGCTCCCCTGGAATTGACATGCACATTGGCCAATGATGTAACTGGTGTGATTATTTATTACAAATACCTCAAAGCGGCTTACAAAAGATTCTCGCACTAAAACATCACATTCAAGTCTAGTATCGGGAACAAAAATAAACACGTTGCGGGGACACTTTACAAAAACAACAACTTCTGTACATACAATGCACTGAGTGTACCGGTAAACTACAATCCGAGATAATGTTCCGAATGTTTTAATGAGAAATAAAGTTGTAAAAAAACAAAAAGCACAGGGTTTTTTAGAATAGAAAATATATGCTGGCCATTTCAGAGTTTATACTGAAAACTGGGATTGGTGAATATTATTATGATTATTTAAAATATTTTCAGAAGGCTCAGCCATGATTCTTGCTACCTCTTCCGCTCATGAAAACAGTATAAAATTTCACCAAATTCACTGAGATGGGCCCACCTTTACCTGGCAGCCCTGACCAACGAATACTAGTACAAATATGTCTCTCAACGTTCCCCAAAGATGCTGAGGTTAGGACTTTGGCGAGCCTCCGAGTGGAAGTTTATAAGATGATGCGGCAGCCCTAAAGACATTTTCCTGTGGAATTCAGGCCTCCCCGTTGAATTCCACAGAATTTATTTCTGAGCGGACATACATAGGATTGTTCCGCAAGCAGCACTTTTCGGAAACAGAATCAGACTAGCAAACGTTGGCTGATACCGGAACTTATTTTCCAAATGGTCCTCCTATTCTTTTCCAGTCCTACTTGAAGAATATTTCCCGGTGCGTATTAAAAGCTTTCTGAAGCATCCCTTCTAAAAGCGCCCTCACCTAACCCATTGGACGCTTTTCATCCCATTCAAAGCAAAAGCTAAAAAAAAAAAAGGCCCATCTACTCAAAAGAAAGTCCCACCGGAGTTCAATGGGGCTTGTTCCCAGGTAAATTCGAGGAGGATGGCAACCTTAAGCATTATTTGAGAAAATGGGAATGACGCTTTCGAAAGAGGCGCTCTTATTCTCACGTGTTGAACGACTCTCTCTCTCTCTCTCTCTCTCTCTCACACACACACACACACACACACATATATATATATATATATATATATATATATATATATATATGGAGAGAGAGCCAGTCAGATCGGCCGTCCCGTGCCGTGGAACATTTTAAGCTAATGATTATGTGAATCTATTACCCATCAACCACTTTAGACCGAATGAACTGATTTCAAGCCCGGCGAAGGCGCAGTTGACTTCAGTGCAACTCGAATCGCTCTAAAGGTCTCCTTCAGCCAAGTTTTGAATCCTGCTGCCCGTCCCACTTACGTCAAGAGGCTAAATACCGAAGAGCTAAGAAGGATCCGAGCCTCTGGGGTCTTTTTTGGTGTTTGCAGGAAAGAGGGGAGGGAGGGAGTGGGGTGAGGGAGACGTTGATGCTTTTGTTGTCAAGGGGCAAAGAGCTTATGTTCTTAACCTCTGAGGTTTTACACTCTTCTGCCGATTTGGACATTCCTTTAAGCACCGCCGTGCCTCAGATGTGTCTCAAAGGCCCCACGGGCTAATCTCCCACCTCCAACGCAGCTCCGTTTCCCCGGCGTTTTCAGCGGACCACGTTGAAGTTACACCTACAGTTTTCACCCTCTTCGCTTTTTGCTTTTTTTCAGACGGGGGTTTCGCGGGGGACTATCCACTGAAGACCGAAAAATAGAGGGGACACAACTTCTGCTATTTTTTTCTTTAAAACAAAAACAAAGATTTTTGCGGGAAGGGGAGGCTGTATCCAGTATCCTTGCCGAGACACGGGTCCAAGAGACCCTCACCCTCACAACCTCTTGCCTCAGAAGAAAGCACCGAGCCGGTACATCCGGCGGATGTTGCGGACTGAGATGCGGGTTTGCTGGCCCGTTACAGAACACGCATTTAGACGAGCTGAACTTAGACGGTTGTGATAACGGGATACAGGGGTGCCAACCCGAATAAAATATTGGGGGGGGCAAGTAAGCCCCACCCCGCATAATCGATCACAAGACACGGCGCAAGCACGCCATTTGAATGGCAATGACCATAAACTTTGGGGGGGGGCCGTAGCCCCCTCAAACATTTTATTGGGGGAAGGGCGAAGGGACCTCGGCCTCTAGGAGTTGGCTCCTATGCTGGGATTGCAACTCTTACATGCGAATCAGAGGACCGCCGAGTTCAGCCCAGGCGTACTTTCGATTAAAGATGTGAAGCATTGACTTCTGGGGCAATTCTTGGAGGAACTCCTCGGGGCGTTAGAGGTGTTCGGGTTTTAAACATCTTTTAACATGGACTTAAGCTGGGACAAGATCCCAGCTTCCTGAAACATTTTTTTAAAAAGCGGATCGCAGACCTCATCCTTTGTGATGAGGTAGAGTCATAATCGCGTATGGAAACAAGGAAGATGGTTACCCGCGTTGCCTTCCTTTCCTTAAATGGAAACAGGGAAGAGAGGGAGGGGAGGGGGATCCAGATGCAATCTTGGAGTATTTACACTGTTCTATTAGGAAGCCGGGGCCCAGCCAGCACCCCTGTGGGGGGAAGTTCTCTTGAAATCCATAGGAGCTCAGTGGAAAGGCGCGCTATTGTTGCGAGAGGGAGGAAGGCAAAACAAAACAGAAACCTCGAGGGGGCTGTTGTTTGTTTGTTTAGGCGTTTCATGAGAGCAGCAGACAGAAATCAACTTTGGTTTTCCGGCGCACCAAACGACCTGCTTTCCCAATCGTAGACCCTAAGGCAACATGCTGGCAGTGGAATAAAATTAATGCCCCTTTGAGAATTACGAACCTGGAGAATACTGAGGTTGAAATCCTATACCCCGTTACTTGGAAGTAAGCCCCACTGAATCATCATCATTATCATTATCCAGGGAGAGACTCGGATCCAAGGACTGCTCATCCTAGTGTGGATTTAGGGATCTATGCTGAATCTAGCAGTGGCTTGCTCTCCTCCACGGCCCTCCGTGCATACCTTTCAGCTTTACAGAGCAATCCCATGCACGTTTATTTAGAAGTAAGTCCCACTGAGGTCAATGGGGCTTATTCACAGGGAAGTGGATAGCTGCTTGCGACTTAGGCGGCTACCTAATAAACAGTCGCTCTTTGAGCGTTGCTTCTTTCCTTCCATGATAATCTCCTTAGGCTGACACTTGGGAGTTCTGGAAGCTCTTGGTGGCGTGAAAATTGGAGGGATCCAGTTGCGCAGGATTCGTTCCCTCCTGCACCGTTCCGTAAGCAGCTCACGTATTGCCCACCCAGGTCTAAGCATATGGGCCCTGTTCCAGATAGTCTTTCGCGTCAGATTCAAATTTGAAACTCATGAGACTTCTGGAATTAGTCCCATTGGTGCATCCATCCCGCCACCCCCTCCACGCATGGGACTTTAAAATTATTTTCTCTATAGCCAGTAAACATCCCCTCTGTCCCCCCAAAAGAAAAAAAATCCACTTCAAACGGATTTATGTATTTTTTATAATTTTAACTCGCTCTTTTCAATGAAACTCGGGGGGAGAGTGCATAGTCTTCCCCATTTTGTTCCCGTTTAGACCGAAAGATGGCAATTGGTCTTAGATCGTGGAAAAATTCAGGGCTAGGTCCAATTCCAACTCATGTCTGCCTGGTCTAGCAATCATAGCAGGCAACCCCTAGGGGCCGTGGGGGCTTCCGCTCTGCAATAAAATATTTGAGGGGGCTGGACCCCTGCAAAGTTGAGGAGCATTGCCATGGGGCAGCTGCCCCCCATCAAGTAAAACAATAGAAATATTTAACTAACTGACCAATCTGCCCCCCCCAACAAAAACCTATAGGCATTGCCATTCAAATGGTGTGTGTGCACCATGTCATGTGATCGATTATGCTGGGCGGGGCTTACCTGCCCCCCCCCCCCAATATTTCATTCAAGTTGGCACCCCTGCTAGCAACACTCTGGAAACTACCACGCTGGAGTCATGCCCCAGTTTGTTTCTATGAGACTCCAGCGCGCGTTCCTGATCTTATTGTGGATGCGGCTGCTGCCTATTTCATTGGTATCTTAGCGTTTTGCAGAAGGCTTGGGGCGGAGGTGGGCTCACTACCTCGCCTCGCACACCCCGTACACGGAATAAATGGAATAACGGCAACTTTGGAATCAGAGGCCGTTTCTTTCCCACCCTGAATTGACCTTAGGTTGTATTCTTGTAAGTACTATTGAAATCAATGGTACTTACTTCTGAGAAGACCTGCTTGGAACTGCATGCTAGGAACGCATTGTTACTCCCCTCCCCCATCATGTTTCAGCCCATTTCTAGACTTGCATCCGGCTGTTTTGATACGTGGCGGGGAGGGGGAGGGCCTCCATCTATTTTCTTTACCTACTACAAAGCCTCACGTGATGCATTACAGGCCTCTTCCCAGCGAGTAAGAAGTGTCGCATCCGTCAGATGCTCGATGCCAACAGGAAATAGCTCTGGAATCAGAAGAAATCGAAGGACAACGCCTGATTCCCTAGCCATCTCCTTAAACACCTTTCAAGTTCTATTTTCTTTCAGTTGTGTTGTGGGCACACATTTTCTTCGATGGGAAGAAAATGGTCTTTCTGACTGGCGCCTTCCATGCGCAGCGCACGAGAAATGGGACTCGATGCAACTTTGGATCGGGACGAAAACGAAGCACGCAGGCGCTACAGAGATCCATAGGAACTCGAGCTTTACGGTGTCCCTCATTAACATAAAAAAAAAAGATGGGAGGCGGATTACGCCATACTGTTTTGTGTACAGTAAAATACAGTAAAATACAGACAACCATTTCCAAAATGACTTTACTTACACAGGGCAACATCATTCCTGTATATTCAAAAGGGAGTCCCCCTGTTCAGCTACGGTTGATTCCTATGTAAAGAAGCAGCCTGACAGAGGAATACTGGAAGTGTCTCCTCAGAAGTAAGTCCCGTTGAGTCCAATGGGACTTACTCCCAGGAAAGTGGCTAAGGGGTTACAAACAAGCGCTTTGGGGAACACTGAGTCTGTGCTTTAGAATATAGCATGAACGTATTAAAAAAACAAGTCAACATATTTACGCATCTTAGCTCTAATTATTTCAGTGAAACTTACTTTCAATGATGTTTTTATTCCACTTAAATCTGTTTAAGATGAGGCTTCGGGTATTAAAAATAAACCTTCCACCTCGACTTCAAACACATTTACATTTGGTGGGGAGTTAGTGTCCATAAAATTAATAGCACTTTCTTCCAACAAAATGTGTTCAGGGTCCACACCCTACGAGGAGGAAACCCATTAAAAAATACTTAAGATACCTGTTTGGCTTGCAATTGATGCTTTTTTTGGTCTTCAGTAACGTTCAAGAAGATCACACTTACGCTCGGAAAATATTGTTATTTTTCTTTAATGGGGAAAATTTGGACTCCCGCGAGTTAGATCTGTGGTTTTTAGGGCTAGGATGAAAATTGGACTGACACCACTTTGCACTTTAACAATCGGATTTCGTCAGGGTACAAGTTGTTTGTTTAACCCGACAGCTCCGTGCACCCCGTCGCACGCTTTACACACTCATTAAAACGATTATTCACGACCTGTCGAGTGTTTTCTAGTTCATTCACAGGAAAGACTTAGCGCCATAGGATCCAAGCATAGACCGTCTTCAAATCTGCGTCTGGTGCGCTGGTATCTAGCTTCTACAACTTGCAAAAGAACGGATGTTCTAATAACAACAATAACTATAATAATATTTCTGACACCTTAGTCCTAAACGCAGTTTATCTGGAAGTAAGATCCACAGGTCCAACTGAAGTGCAGAGTAAGATCCAACTGAAGTGCAGAGTTCACAGGCTTAACGTGAGACCAGGGGAAAATGATCCTTAACTCATTAGACTCTCAAAGTTGCGTTCAAAAACAAGGGAATAACTTCCCAGGTAAATGTTTTAGGATCGGGTGTCTAGCTCTCTGATGCCAAATAAATCCGCAGGCCAATGCTGACGCGGTTTACTCGGAAGTAAGGCACATGGATGTCAGTGGGGTTTAACCTCAAAATGCTGTTGTTTGGGATTTCTTGGAAATCTGCCCCAGTGGCTCCAACAGAACTGACCTAGGGACAAACAGTACCTTTTAAAGATAGCTTTTGACAGCTCGGCGGGATCATAAACAAACGGCCCGGAATGACTCTATTTTCCAACAGTTGGGTTGGAGAGGTTGAAGTAGAAAAATGAGGAGGGGATTCCTAGGGTAAATAAATAAATGCACCAGTCAACCGGCATTTCTATTCTACAGGAATTTTATCTGAAGCGGGGGCTAGACTCCGCTTCCCCTCCCAAAAAATGGACGAATGAGAATTTATGAAGAAAGCAATCTTGATTTTAGAAGCTCAGAATTTCCCCTCAATTGTGGCACATGGAAAGAAAACTCAACAACCAGAAAAGTTGCCCCACTAATCAGTTGCAGCCAAAACTGCAAAGAATCTTGACGGCAGCCTTCAAAACTTCACCAATTTATTGTGGCATAATAAATTTTAAGGTGCCTGCAAAACTCATCACACTTCTAGATCGATGAGAGTAGGATTGGGATGGCCGGCCTGCTAATGAAGGGTTCGGGGGTTTTAACGGACGAACTTCATACAAAAGCGCTTCCAACGATTCTCAAAAGCCCGGAGGAGTTTATAATTCTGGCCAAATGTGTCCTTTCACCTTCGTGGTTTAACAGGAACAGGTCACATATCGCCCGTCACAGTGAGATAGAATATTGTGGTTTCAATTAAGAAAGGCAGATCGCCGTAAGGCCGCTATCCCGACGCCCATTTACTCAAACCAGCGGAAATGAAACGAATCCGCGGTGCGCTGCTAGTATAGAGAATCATGCATTTCCGAAAGGTTCTTGCTGGCCAAAGCTTTTAGAAACCTTCGGGAGGGAGCGCTGAGAGGGATTTTATAAGGAACAAACGCGCAGTCAGATTCCGAGCCCAGTTAAGATTCGGGTTGCAGGACGGAAATTGCGCCGCTGCTGTTCAGGAAGCGCTGGGCTCAAATCCCTTCCAACCAACCTCTGATATTATGTGTGTTTACTAAGGGTACTACTCGATTCTCCTATGTAATATCTCCCGTTCTCACTCTTTCTCTTGTGTGTGTGTGTGTGTGTGTGAGTGAGTGAGAGAGAGAGAGAGAGAGAGATAAAATGTGTATATAATATATATGCATTATTTCTCAAGGTTTTCAAACTTTTCGCAACATAAAGTATATTATTATAATATAAAGAAAACGGAGAGCAAAAACGCGAAATCTAAGCGATTTCTTAATTTCTCGCAACGTGAAGAGAGCATGTATGAGTTGATTGTTAGATATATAATAATCCACAATCAGGTGCGCTGTTAAGAAGGACTCTTCCAAGCCTGCATCTCCTCCGCCTTTTGCTCAGCACCAAGCCGCTAAGATAAGATCAAGGCAAAAGAAAAAAGAAAAGAAGACCGAAAATCTGTACATAAATACTTAAAAACCGGGCGCAAATAAACACACCAATCGATAGCAAAGTAGCCAGCGCTTGTTCTATTGATGGGGACACAATCGATCCCACCCCCCTCTTCCTGCCAACCAAGACTCCGAACTACTCTGTAGGTAATTATTAGGATTTGAAAGCCACAGATTTTAATCAGCAAAAAATAAAATAATTTAAATGCTTCCATTTTAACCTGGATGGAATTTTCTTCTATTAGAAGAGGGAAAACGCCCGCCGTGGGAGTGTGGGTTTAGTTTTATTGCAACACCCACCACTCCCAATTGCTAAACTTTTACAGTAGTAAAACAAATGGGGAGTATTTTTTTTCCCAAACACGACGGAAAACAAAATGCATCTTGGAAGAAACATCAGCCTTAATAACACGGTTTCTTCCTTTCTGTCTGTCACTCTCTCGCTCTTTAAAATGTAAACATTGGAATCGGGTGATAGCTTCTTGAAATGGACACCAACCTTGCAGTAAACTCGCTTCCTTATAATTCTCATACAAATCCTCGCTGCCCCCACGTTTTTAGATATATTGAGCCTAAGGATGCCAAAAAGAGAAGAAATTCTCTTCTAGTATATATATACATTTTCTCTCTTTCCCAAAAGAACATTTATCGTCGTTCCCACCCTCATCCACTTTCAACAAGATTATCGCAGCCTCTTGTGGAATGCAAAACTCTTTCATTATATAGAGCTGCGATTTTTCAAAAGAAGCAACACCCATATAAATAAGTACATTCCGCCCTCGTTGTTTCTTATACTGCCTGTCTGAAAACCTTAGTGATTTCTGAAGGGTTCTCTCGGACTGTGACCCTCCTCTTCTCCCCTAGCCCTGCACGCCACTCTCCCATCCCATATGATCAATCCAACAATCTGAAATTATTTCTGCTCGATCAACCCTGAGAAGGGAAAGTGACTCCTCAAAGAAAGTCAGAAGTATAACCCTCCTTTCCCTCTGCCTACCTCTTGAGATTATAAGGGAAGCTCGAGAACATGGAAAGTATCTGAACTAATCTATTTTAAAAACAACAACAACACTGAAATCCTAATTCGCAAAAAACTGAGAGAGATTGAGATTTCTACCAAGAACAGATCCGAAACATTCAAGCTGTTCCCACGAGGTTGGGAGAAGACGGGCCCTTCTCCCACACGTGTGTGCGCCCCACAGGCTCGCCTGCTTCCTTCTTCGCGCCGACCAAAATCCCCCTTGGGTTCAAGGAGTCAGCTTAGGTTGGCTAGAATCATATGGTTCAACCTGAGATGGTTCTCAGATTTGGCATAACAGAATAATATAGAAAATGCTTTTTGGCGTTTAACTCGTGGCTTTCTGTAGCCTACATAATATATATGAAGATAAAGCAAAGAGCATAAAACTTTTAAATCCTCACACACCGCCATCTTTAAACGTCTGAATGGAAGCCAACTAAGGTCAGTTTGACTCATGTCCAAGTCATCGGAAGGATCCGCAGAAAGTTAAGCAAGTTAAGGAAGCGATCCCAACTCCCTCTGAAATAAAGTGGACTTTTTAAAAAAAAGTTAACTTTGCCCTGGTGGTGCCCATGGCTTGCAACTGAAAGAAACTCGTTTATTGAGACCTCTTTCCAAGGAAATATGTTCCAAACTGGCGTGGAATGCCAATTAAAAACCAGATTCGAGACAATCGAGAAACGCATCTAAGAGCTGTGGTAGAAATGTGCCTTATTTGAACACGTCCAGAAAACTAGCGCTCTCTCTCTCTCTCTCTATATATATATGGAGGCAATCTTCTCCCATAATATTTGCAAATGGGTTACTAGTGGTGATCGGTGCTTTGGAAAGCAGCTTAAACTAAAATTAGGGGATGTGAATTGATTTGCACAGTGCGATAAATTACAGTAACTTTTTTTTTTTTTTTAATTCTCATTATTGCTTTCCCTCCCCGCCTCTGGTTGGTTGCTCTTTGCTCCCCACCGGAAGGTGGTGGCGGCGGCGGCTGAGTTTGTGTAACCTGTTCTCACGTTGTTGTCATGGAAACGCCACACAAACCTCCCACAAAGCTTTAGATCGCCTTTGCTGTGGGAGGGCACAGAGGCCCAAACTGTCTTACAGGGTGATCCGCGGTGAAGCCGAAGTGGTTGGGGATAAACAAAAACAGCATCAACAAGCGGCGGCGGCGGCGGCGGCGACAGTAGCAGGGAACGGGGCTTGCTTAGATGCCGGTGCTTCTCAGTGCAAGAGCCTCTGTCCGCTGCTGCCGACGTGCCCGATGGTGGTTTGCCACGAAGTGCCGCGCCTGAGCTCAGCGACACCGACACTGTACCTTTAAGGCACATCTGAAGCACGTCCTCGCCCTCGGAGAATCCTGGGAACTGTAGCTCGCCTTTCACAGACTTACAGTTCCCGACAACCTTCAAGAAAGTACAGTGCCCAGAATTATTTGAGGGGGAAAGGTGCTTCGAATGTGCTTTAAAAGTATAGCGTGTAGGCAAGGTTGTCAATTGAAGGTGAGAGGTGAAGCTCTTGGCTTCAGTACATTCGGATGGGGGAAGAGATTTCCATGGGCTTTAATGTTCTTTCCTTCCACACCATAAGCTATGGAGCCTGGGGCCGGGGCAGATGGCCTGAATTAGATTCCCCTTTGCAGTAATGACAAGGGAGGAAAGAATTTTTAAATTTACCACTAGAAGAGTAACACTGAGAGATCCGAATCAGTCTCTATCTGTCTGTCTATCTATCCAGCCATCCACCCACCCATGCACTCACACACACTGAAGGTGAAGCTTATGTATCTATATGGCAGTCAAATTTTCTAGGCACCTGAAATTCGAACATGTGTGCCAGAGGAGGGAACACTGAGCTCTTGGTTTCTTGCGCTTGGCAATAGCGCCCTCGCCCTGCAGTTTAAAGAACAGCAGAGGCATAAATCCTATTGCATAAACACACTTAATAAACCTTAACGTTGCCCATGTGCCCACATTCCACGCGTTCCTCAAACCAGAGCAACCTCCAGTTCATCTCCCTAAACTTAGGGACTATTTCTGTCAATCAGCTGTAAGCAAGCATTGCACGACAGAGGCGGAAGGTGAAACAGTGCCGTATCCATGGAGAAAAATTAAGTAACCAAAACAGCATTTCAGACTCACTTTCTTTCTTTCTTTCTTTCTTTCTTAGTCGCTTCAAAATCTAAATTGACCCATTTATCCCATAGGCAGGTTTCTTAAAAACTGTCACCGCTAGATCCATTCTCTCTCCTGACTACTAATTTCATTGTATATAAATTGCCTTTGGAGGGAGGGAGAATGAACTTCACCCTCTTTCCATTTCCTGCAAGGGGAGATAAACCTCTCAGTACTTCATTACCGTTGGCTCTGATTGCGTTCAGCAGGTGTTTTTATCTTCCCTGCGTTTGGGTAACTCAAATTGGTGTATTAACAATTAATTATTTTCTTGAGATTACAAATTACAGGAACAGGGGAATTAGGGGGAAAAGATAATTTACAGTGTGGCGCACGCTACATTGTTCTTCTGTTCCCCCTTCCCAGCGGGTCAACTTTAACCATTAAGAAGATTTAAAAAGAAAAGAAAAACCCTCCCCCCAAAAGCCAGCACTGAGCATAACAGTCCAGCATAGACGCATCACATCACTATTTTTAAAAAGATAAAACCTGGGAGGGGGTCAAAAGTTAAGTCGATTTCACGATCCACACCCAGTTAAGGCTGCAATGTTGTACCAATTTATGTGGGAGTCAGCCTCACTGAACGAAATGTAGTCAAATACAGATATCTCGCCCACTGCAATTCTTTAACATGGAAGCTTGAAATCTCCATCATGTCTACGCCCAGGAAAGTGTGCGTAAGATTTCAGCCTTAGGCCCATTCCTAAATGGATCCTGTTCTCAAATAAGCATGCGTAGGAAAACTGCGTCTCAAGCGTTCCTTCGTTCCTTCCAGTACGAGCGACACAGAAGTCTCATATCTGTCCCTAGGAGTTAAATACACAAGACTTGGAGTGGCAGCCTTTACTGGACGTTCACTCCATCGACTTATGAGGGTCTCCTTCAAAGAAAATATGGGCCGCGCGATCCAGCTAAAATTAAGCTTGAAGCTCAGTGATTTTGCTTGGGGAAGAATTGAAAGCACGCGAACGAGTCTCCCGAACCTACAGCCAAACGATTTTGGGATGCTTCACTTTGGCTGGATTGGGCTCGTGTGGAAGACTGAAAAGTTTCTAGCACAAATAAGTCCTGAAACTGCATGGAAGCACTTAAAGAGGAGCACGCCGAAATTTGACACCAGAGCCGTTTCAAAAGTTTATCTTGTAGTACTCCAGTTAATTTCTCATCTCAGTACAATATCCAGGAATAATAATCCCTTTCCTTCTTTTTTTTTAACCTTTACATAAATCGCTTTTCCTTTCTTAAATGTTGCTGGCGACACTTTTTCTTTATCTTAAATATGAAATAGGGAGCCACTGGACAATTCTGAGCACGCTTCCTAAGGAGAGCGACTGATGGAGTTCAATTTATTTATGAGTTAATCTGCATAGGATTGCACTGATAGTAAAGCGTTTTGCATAATGAAAGCGGTGCAGACAAGGAAGCTGTCTTGAGAAAACCTCATTAAAATAATAAAAAAAAAATTATCTGCATAGATAGATACACACAGATGTATATATACAGAGAGAGAGAAAGAGAGAGAGAGACCACAAGCGCTTTTAAACCAAATGTAGGAACTTAATATCTCATTGTCTTCAATGGGAGGCGGAAGCATTCATGATCATGCTGGAGCGATCAATGGGCCTTAAAGGGTTCTTAAGTTTGGCTGGGTCCTATCCATATGTATTTAGGAAACCCACAATTATTTAGGCACATGTGACACCTGAACACGGTATCGCATTGAAATTAAAGCAAAAAGGTGGCGGGGGGAGAGGGAGAAATTGCAAAAAAAAAACTCCTTTTAAAAAAAACCTTCTCTTTCTAAATCGTGAATCTGTGTTTAGACAAATGAATGAAAGAAAGAGAAACTGGCAATTAAAACAAGCAGCAACCCCAAAAGAAATGTAAACAGCGCTCGGTGAAGTTTAGGAGAGAGCAAAGCTGCACTCACCAGTTCGAAAAGGGCGAAGGAAGAAGAAGGCGGCGGCGGCGACCAAGCAGGTCGGATTCCTTGGACTCCTTCTTCCTTTCCGCCGCAGGTAATTCTTCCCACCCGCTTCAAAAGGCAAACAAAGGCTCTCTCAGCGGCGCAATCGTCTTGGCTTTTCGTCACCTTGGCTCTTTGTCGCTCGAGTCTCCCCCTTTGAAAAGCAGGCAAAGTCTTCCTTCTCCTCGCCAGTTGTCAAAGGTCTACAGTGTTTCAATGGAAGAAAGCAGGATACATTTTACCCAGGTCATGACTCTTAAAATAACAAATAAATAAAACTGAAGAAGAACGAATAGAGAAGGGGGGGTGTTGCTATTGTGGGGGATTGTGCGGTGTAGAAAAGACGATCCAATTCTTGGCCCGTCCAAATTTACAGATCGAAATGGAGGTAGATAGGGAGAGAGAATTCATAATATTTGATTTATTTATTTTTCCCGGGTGAAGGCCGAAGAATGGATATAGACAGAAGCTTTCCCATCTCTCTTCTCCTGAACCCCTCACCCCCCCCCCTTAGGGAGAAGGCGGAATGGGGGCTGGCTGGCTTGAACTTCACCTACCCTGCTGCTGCTTGCTGCTGCTACTGCTGCCAGGATGGCTCGCTGAGATCCTTCGTCCAGCTGTTTTCCTTCCCAGAAGGTCCCGTCCTTCTGCCGTGGAGTCGAGAGGGCAGGTTCTCCGCTGAGAGGTAGGAAATCGCAGCAACTCCGCCCTCTGGGCACGATCACCCAAAGCCAGCCAAAAGAGCCACAGCCAGCCAACCCTAAAAAAACACCCTCTAATGATCTTCACCTTCACCTCTGGCTAACCCAAGAGCTCCGCCACTTTTTTTGACGCTGGGATCCCACCGCAGAGGCCTCCTGCACTAGACCCTCTTCCCCACCCCCATAACCACCACCACCTGAACCGAACGGGCCTCTGGCTGGAGAACATCTCGCTGGGTCTTCCATGGTTTCCGCACCAAGTCGCCTTCACCATACGAGGACATCACAGCCTCCAATCTAGAGGAGCTGAGCTTAAGGCACGGGAACCTACCACAGGAGCCAATGCAGAAATATACAGCGGGGGGCATGCCTTCATTCACATGCAAATAGATCCACGAATATGAGAAGTTCATCATTTTAGAAAAAATGAAGGGAAAGAAAAGGGAATCCTAGTTATATTCCTGTCCTGGCGCAAACGACAGGGCTGGTGTGACATAGCGTGGAATTTCCTGTCCTAAACTTCCTCCCTACTCAGATAGCTCCAGTGTAAACGCCAGGTGAGTTCTGTTTGACAAAGGAGTGGATTAAAGTTACCGAAGCTCACTATTAGCAAAAAAAAAAAAAAAAAAAAGAGGGAGGGAGGAGGAAAGGGGGCATCTGAAGGTCAATTTCGGCAATTACAATCCCATAAAGGTTGAACAAGAGCACAGATTCTCAGACTAAAACAAAATGGGAGGGTTCCTCGAAAATCTATATCAATCTCTCATGGACAGCTTTGAGCTCCACCGTGTTTGATGCAGACGGTGCGATGCGATCAGCACCAGGAAAAGCGTGCTTGCCTGAGTCCCAAGGCCTCAGAACGCCGCTCTCCGGCACCCTTCTTTCTCTAGGGCCAAATCAGATCTCTTTCTGACAGGCCAAGCCTAATGTTTTATTATGATTATTTTGATAGCAAGAAGAGAGCCTCTCTGTTTTCGGTGCCAACTTCTCCGCAAATAAAAATGTCCTTAAAAGAACTTTCTAGGGAGAATTTTAGGTATGAACGGCGTTTGACTTATTATTATTATTATTATTATTATTATTATTATTATTATGCCGCCCATCTGACTGGGTTACCCCAGCCACTCTGGGCGGCTTCCAATAAATTAAATATGTCCGTGGAATGTATTGTTACTGAGTTCTTTTACGATCCAATATTTCCTTTATAGGCTGGCGTATTTGTTACCACCCCTCGTTCCCTTTCAGAGTTTAAACAGTCCCAAAATTTAAACCAAAGAACCACCGACGAATAAATGTTTTTTTTAATTTAAAAAAAAACCAAACATACAACTGGGGTGAAAAAAAAAGTGTATTTTCCACCAACATGCCTTGAAGGATATAGAAACGCTAAATTTAAAAGTTGCCTAGAGCGCCAGGATATTATCACTGGGTGATTTCCAACGTTAGCTATACTCAATGTAACTTAAGTCGGTTGATTTCAGTGGGTCTACTCTAAGTATGACTTTGTTGGATATCTATTATTATTATTATTCGGACAGGAAGATGGAGTGATAGTAATCAATCCGTCAGGATTTCACAAGTGAAAACTTTAAGGAAGTAATGTCCAGACCTTGAAGTGGTGACCATCAAGCATTCAGTTCCTTGGCAAACCAGGAGAAGTGCATGAGAAAGCAAAATGGTGTGGCCCATCTGCTGAGAGACAGAAGTAAATGAAATGAAAAGTTGAGGGCCAGAGTATTGATGGCTTTGGGATACACGCTAACGTATGTACAGGAGGACCTGAATGGTCATTGTAGCGATTGATCCGGAAAAACAGAACAAAAAGAAGCGCCGCCTTTCCAGGTAAAAGTAAATAAATGCACGCCTGGATGATATAACTCCAGGAAAGCTATTTCTCTGCCTTGCTCTCTTTCCGATTTATATACAGCACGCACACATACACACACCCTAGGTCTCGCGATGGCACCCGAAGCGGTCTACAACCCCGTAATCAAAACAAAAGGCAATCTCGGGAGTTGGCAGATCAGAGGAGACGCCTCTTCTCTTCTGCCGTGACCCTCCCTTTCTCCACCTGGAGTAAAAAAAAAAAAGTGAGGAGGAATCACCTGAGCGCCTCAAGGTGCATCCAGCCCGTGACAGAAAGCCGGAGTTGCAAACGCCAAGTGCCTGTTTACACCTTCGAGGGGGAACTTACGCAGACACACACTTTCACACACAGCGAGACACACACAACCTCTTTTTCTTCAGGAATGACCATGCATCAAGTTTAGCTAGTTAAGGCTTATTGAGGGGGTGTGGGGAACCCCTATGCCTTCTATTAGGCTTGCAAATCTGGAACCTACCATATGCCATCACCAAGCCCCCTGCTGTCCCCACTTCTACACACTTCCAATGCAGGATCGGGTCAGAGTTTGGATTCCTCCCCCGCCCGTCTTTTTTGTTTTTTTGTTTTGCCAGTGCCACTGCAAATAGCAGGTTTAATTCCTGCTGCTGGATTCCCCACAATACGCAACCCATGGCAAGTGTTAAATAATACATCGGCCCCTTTGTCAGCTGCACCACCAGACGCCTCTCCTCCTTTGCTCGGCTTTGGCAAAGGATACAGACTCCATGTTGGAATCGGCACAGATTATTATTATTATTATTATTATTATTATTATTATTATTACCGGAAGTCTTCAGAATAACCTGTTCCTGCAACTCCCCCCCCAAAAAAAACCCTCTCTTTTTTTTAACCTCAGGATATTTGTTTTTTTAATTGTCGCCCAACATTTCTGTGATTTCCGTCTTTGCAAACGATTCCCCATAACCCGAGGCTGGAGTCAGGCACGTCAAGAGAGCGTCCTTTGCGATTTCCACCCCAGCCAAGTCACTTTCTTTACAGAGTTAGGAGAACTTGGGGGTGGCTAGGTTTCCCCAGGTTTTCCCTACACTCACATACACCCCTAATTCTACTTCTTAATCACTCCATCCCTCTTTCCTTCGTGAAGAACATCAACTCTTCAGCAACCCCCTACCTCCCCCTTGTTTCCCAGCAATGTCAACATTTTCTCCTATCCGTCGCCTAAAGTATCCCCTGGTTCCTCTCTCTCTCTCTCCTTTTTCCTTCTGGGGGGAGGAGAACTCCTTTTTGAGAAACAGAGAGAGAGAGAGAGAGAGAGAGAGAGATCCACTTTAAAGCGTTTGGCGATAGCATCTCCAGCAAAGAGATTATTTTTCATCCCCCCATTGTGAGCAGGGAGCCGGCTTATTGCATTACTGCCGAACCCCTTGCCGACTACACAATTGTAACAAATGAACAACTTGTCCTCTAAGGACTCGCTGCGGGATCCAATTAGCCGAGAAACCCTCTGCACCGGGTTTTCTGAAGCGATTGGCAAGAATCGCTGCCCTCCTTCTCCCGAAATTCTTCCCCAAACCGGATGCCTTAAAAAACACACACACAAAAAAAAACCCCCCAGCCCTCGCTGCCACGCCACCCCTTCAGCCCAAAGCGAAAAGCGAACGGAACGGCCAGGCAGTAAGAAAACTTAAGCTCCTTACGTCAAGCAGACACTTGGGCTTCAGTAGAACTCTATCTCTATCTATCCTTCTATCCTTCTATCATATATATATTCCAGTGCAGTGCACATCATTGCTGTATTTCTTCCCTACCCTTCATTTCCTCCAGCGATTCCTTCCATCAAAACTTGGGCGCACGCGAATGCAGTTCATTTTTAAATGGAAGGGGGGACGACAAATATACTTTTCCCAGGAATATATATATATATGTATATGTATATATATATATATATATATATATATATATATATCAGGCAAGCAGCCCCCCGCTTTTGAAAACACAAGAAAATGAAGCAGCGAGAGCTGTTTGTGGAGCTACGCACACGCAGAACACCCGTAACTTAGGCACACATTCACAAGCACATAGAAAAGAAAGAGGGAGGGAAGGCCGTCTTCCTACCCGCCACCCCACTCCTGAAACTCACAGCCCCATCCAAAACACGTTTACTCGGATGTAGGCCTGGCCGTTGCACTTACTTTCGGGCAAATACGTTTAGGAATGAGGCTCTTAAAAGTCAAGGGCTTCCAAGGCAACGTGCTTTGGAGCGGCTTGTTGGACTCTTTGAAATAGGGAAATGCAAACGGCCAGGAGTGGAATGCAAGCTTGCACGCATTCAAATGACCATGTAAAGGTTGTTGTTAAATAATAACCCAGCATTGCTACGCCACTAGCCCTTCAAACGCAAAAGACCACAACACAAACTATCGAAAACCCTCCCTCGCAGAACAGTAATCAAGTATGTTTTCAAGGCAACATGTGCCAAATTTTCCATTTTTTAAAAAACACCACTCTCACACACCTACGAGTATTTTATTCTTATTGGGTCAGATTCTGAAAGCGGAACTAAAGGGGAAGTTCTTCAGTTCTCTTAAACATTAAACTCCAGATTTGCTCTCGGATATTGTGGCAGATGGAGCAATTGAGAGGTGGGGCCTAACATTATGGCTCAGCTTCAGTTTCCTATTGTTTTAAAAGTCCTTTGGATGCTAAAACTTCTTTATTTAAAAAAGACAAAAAAACTATCGAGTATATATGAATTTAGCCTATTTTTTATTTCTGTGTGTTCATAGTAAACATTTTTTTGTAAGTGACAAACACGGGCATATGACCACAGTATCACAATCAAGATTTTTTTTTTAAGACGACATTAACAATCACTCAAATTTATGCGGCATTTGCGCAACACAGGTTACATATTTGCAAGGTTTACCTATAAGTACAATAGGTATTAACATTTCACTACATTTAAAAAAAAATAAAGGTGACCTGTTAGTGACCACATACATCAAAATATACACAACACAAACTGAAGGCAATTCATGAATTTTTGTCCCCTCGGATTCATTTGAACGGGCAGTGCTGCAAAACTGAAATGATATCCTTCTTGTTCTGATTTGCTGTATTTTATTTTATTTTTAAAAAAAACATTTCGTACACTGAGTGCATTTTCTAAAAACCCAATCTTTGGTCTAAAAGTAAACAAAAGGAAAACAAAAAAGGGAGGGGGGAGAAAATTGGCTCTTTTTTTAAAAGGGGAGGGAGTAGAGAACAAAAGAATCCAGGGCCAAAATGCAATTATTGAGTTTCTCTGCCTAATTGTTCTGCTTCCACCACGCAAATGACACTTTGCATCGTGGCGTTCATCAATTTATTATCATCATGATTAAATTTTAATTTTACTCTCATGGTCTGCACCCACCATCACATCCATGATAACTTATAATACTGCAAACATGGAAAATCTGGTGGGTCGGCGTGAGGAGGGAAAAAACAACAATCCCAACACACCGGTGTCAAAGCGGAGTCCAAACGGCCAAAAAAGCAGTCACTAGTTTAGATATACCTTCTACTATCTTATTATTAATATTATTTATTTATTTAAACCCTTCCCAAAACTGCATCGTCTACAATGTATCCTTCTGATTTTATTATCATTATTATTATTTTTGCACATTTGCTGACTCGCCTCGCTTGGTTGGAATAAGAAACGACCCTAAAGACTTGAACAAACGTACAGAAAATGGGGGTTAGAGGGTATGGGGGAAGAAACTTAATAAAAAATACCTGGACTTTTTTTTTTCCTGGGTGAGTATTTTTTTTTTCTCCTTTCTGTTTTGCTCATTTTTTAAGTCTCTCGCTCGCTCGCTCGTTCTCTCGCTCTCGCTCTCGCTCTCTCGCTCCATTAGCATTTACAAGGTAAAGGTGTGTAAAATGTTCACTTACAGTCTCTTGACTTCCCCTTGGAGGTTAATGTATTAACGGGTTGGAGGAAGAACCCTGATTTTGATGTGTGAAATAATCAGAAAGTCCACCCGACAGTCCCGTGGTAAAACTGGGCAAGGACGGTCTGAGGGACTCGCAGGGGAGAGTGGAGGGCGCCTGCGGCGAAGTGGACGACGAGGCGGCCCGCCCCGTCATCGAGGTGCTGCTCTGCGAAGTCATGGACGGGTGCGGGACGTGAGGGAAAAAGTAACTGGTCTGTCCCGCCGCCAGAAGGTTGACGGAGCAGGGGTTGAGGGAATAGGTGCCGGAGCAGGGCACCGACAAGCCGCAGGGCACCGAGGCGGCCAGCGCAGCGGCCGTGAGGTGGTGGGTGGCGTAGGGGATCTCGCCGTTGACGAGTCTATCCACGCTCAGGCCGTTGGACGTGGAAAAGGAGTGGTTGTTTCCCAAGGAGTTCTGAGTCAAGACGGAGCTGTAGGGCATGGGGTGGCTGGGGTAAGCCGACGTGGTCCCGTTGTAGCTCAAAGTGCTGCTGGCCCGCGGGTGGTGGAGGGACAGGAAAGGCGACATGGGCCAGTACAAGGAGCCCGCCCTGTCCATGAAGGTCAGGCCGGTGGAGGTGAGGCGGGCGCCCCGCTTGAAGGCCAGCTTGGCCCGCGAGGTGGTGGAGCGCCGCCGGAGCTTGCCCGTGGTGCCTCCGATGAAGACGTCGTCGCTGGAAGGGTCCAACATCCAGTAGTTGCCTTTGCCAGGGTCGTCGTAGTGCCGGGGCACCTTGACGAAGCACTTATTGAGGGAGAGGTTGTGGCGGATGGAGTTCTGCCAGCCCTGTTTGTTCTCCCGGTAGTAAGGGAAGTTCTTCATGATGAACTCGTAGATGCCGTTGAGGGTCAGGCGCTTCTCGGGGCTCTGCCGGATGGCCATCATGATGAGCGCGTTATAGCTGAACGGCGGCTTCTCGTACTTGCCGTTCTTCTTCTCGCCTTCCTTGCCCCCGCCGTCGCTGCCGCCGTCCTTGGCCCCTTCCGACGGGCCCTTTTTCTCCTCCGACGCCGCTCCTTTCTCCTTGTTGTCGTCCAGCTCGCCTGCCGAGCCGGGCTCCCCTTTGCCGCCCAAGAGGTCCCCCTTGGACACCTCCATGGGGCCAGAGGTGGCGGCGGCGCCAGAGGCGGCGGCGGCGGCCGCCACGCCGACCCCCACCCCGGGGGGCTGCAGCAGGAGCTGGTTCTTCTCTTCCTCGTCGTCGTCCTCATCCGGGGTCGCCCTCTGGGGCGGCTGCTGCTGCTGCTGCTGGCCGTGATGGTGGTGGTGGTGATGGTGGTGGTGGTGGTGGTGCGGGTGGTGGTTGTTGTGGTGGTGGTGGCTGTGGTTGTTGTCGCTCTGGACGGCTTCGGGGACCAGGCTGTTGATGCTGAAGGACGACTTGGGCAGCATTTTCACTTCCTTCCTATCGCCCATGTCCAACATCACACTCTAGGCGGAGGGGGAAAGTTGCACAGCCGGCAGGAAGAGGTGGTGGTGGCCGCAGGCGCTGGTGATGATGATGGGGGGCGCTGCTCGGTCCGTCCAGGAAGGCTGGAGGCTGCTGAGGAGCAGCGATGGGCAGCAGCAGCAGGAGAAGGAGCGAGGCAGCGGGAGCAGCAGCAGCAGCCAAGCACTTGCACCACCAGCTCCCGTGCTTGGCAAGGCATGTAGCAAGGACGCAGGAGCAGCCGGGGAAAAGGAAAGGAAAAAAAGAGATGAGGGACCCAGCAGCCAGGCAAGGAAAGCCAAGGCAACGGGCGGGTGGGGGAGGAAAGGGGGGCGCGGAAAGGTTTCCCCCCCTCGAGGAAAAAGAAAGGGTAAAAGGGGGGCTTTCCAAAGGGGAGGAAAAGATGGTCGCCCCCCTTGAAAAAAACGGAACCCCGAGTCCCCTCTGTCCAAAACTACTTCATGGTGCCTGGAGCCCCCCTAGTCCACCCGAGCAAGGGAGGGCGGGGGGGAAACCGGCAGCCGGGGCTGTGGATCAGAGCAGCCGAGACAGCTTTAGCTACAATTAATTTCAGAGCTACAGACACACACTAGGGCTGTAAAAAAATTTTTGGTTTAACCTTTCCCACCGGCCGGCCAATCAGAGAGCGCGGCGTACAGGAACGTCTCCCCTGCGGCCGGCCAATCGGCGGCGCGCTTTCTCCTCCTCTTCCCCTCGCGCTTTCTCTCCTTCGCCGCCTCCCTTTCACCCTTTCGCAGCCCTGAAGGCAGCGCAGGGATACCAAAGGGGGCAGGCGCATCACCGCGGCAGGTTACCTTTTCCCCGCCTCTGAATCCCCCTCCCCCTCCTTTTCCTTGGCAACACCCCACCCCCAAATCCACACACACCAGTTTCCCCACTCTCTCCATATATATATATGTCTGTGTGTGTATGTATGTATGTATATATATATGTCTGTGTCTATAGGTGTCTATGTATGGCTGGGTGTAATAGAGATCTTTTCTCACACGCTTTCTTTTTAAAAATATTTATTTATTTTTATTTCCTGTCAGGGGAGCAGAGAGAGAGAGGAGGGAAGAGGAAATGGTGGCTGAGGGGAAAGAGGCACTACTTTGCGCAAGCCCACCGCCGTGGTGCCTTGGCTGAGGCAGGATTTTGTAGGCCTCTCTCTCTCTCCGTCTCTGGCTTCTTCAGTGGCTCGTCGTGGTATTTTCTTCCTCACGGGGGAGCCGCTTTATGGGATGTTGGGATTGGGGAGGGAGGGGAGGGCGGCGGCAGAAGCGGGAAAGGCCTCCTGCTTCCAAGAGGGATTCGTTCCGAGTTGGGTCTCCTTGGCTTGTTTTGCGCCTGAAATACCGGAAGAGGGAGGGCCAGCCAGGGCGGGCGAGGGCAAAGGCGGCTGTCCTGGAGGCGGTTCCGGAGGGAGAGTGGACTTGCGAGGGCGCGGGGAAGGCCCTGCGCTCCTCCTGGCGTCGGCCTGTCTCGGAAGCGGAACTGAGGACGGACGTACGGACAGCCAGGGAAAGAGAGGATGAACGACGTCCAGAGAGAACGGCGGGCGCTTCGGGATTTCCTTGGGTTTTTGTGTGTCATTTCCGCAGTGATGGGGGTCAAAAGGCCATAAATAAAAATAATAATAGCAAATGCACCCAAGGTAATCGATCTTCGTTTCCTCCCCCCCCATTCCTCCCACAACCCTCCCCGCCCTCCTCCCCACCCGCGAATCTTGCCTCTGCTGCGCTGTGATTTCTCACCCGCGGATCCTCGCGCGCGCTCCCTCTCGCCCCCGGGGTCGTGTGCATGTTTCCTCGCAGGGAAGGCGCCAGGTGGGGCGGGCGACCGGCCGGCTGACAAGGCTTTGCGGCCTCGGCTCTCGGGCCGCTTTCCAGGGACTCCCGGTCGCTTTCTGCCCACCGGGGGAATTGGACCGACTTAACCTCGGCTCCCGCCATCGTGGACGGGTCCTGTGCAGGTTTACCCGGGACTAAGATCCGCTTTGTGCAACGGGGGCTTGCTTTACGAGGTGTTTCTTTTAAAATACGAGCTAGGAGCCAGTTTGGGACCCCCTCAAGAGCACAGACTGCGTTTTAATTTAAGCCAGAAAAATAATTCTAACTATGTATGATCTGTCTTCCGCAGTGGAAACGGAAACGAATACATGCCAAATGCCGTGCATCGGTTTTTGTTTTTATTTTTCTGGGATCTTCCTGCTCTCTTTTTTATTTTGCATTTTATATATGGGGTTTGCTGTTTTTATTCTTGGTGGGAATGAGTTTCTGGCGGGAGGGGGAGGAAAAAAAGAGACCAGCTAGGTGATGGGGGTGGGAGATAAACGGGCTACTTTTGTCCCGCGATTTGCACCCCCCCTTTTTTTTTTAGTTAATAGAAACGGAAAGAGGAGAGCTTTCGGCGAGGATTTCCTGGGGACGATAATTCATTGTTACTCATCCATATTAAATCCTCTCCATTCTTCAGGCGCGAGACATGCAGCCTTTTGCTGCACGAGTTGTGCGGGGGGGGGGGGGACCAAAAATCAGAGAGCAAAATGTCACCAGGGGTGGGCGTTGCGGGGAGTATCCGGATCAAATTTAAAGCAAAGTTGTGCCATTAGTTTGTGTTTAATCCACATCACACCATCAGTACTTTCCACGTACATTGTTGCAAATGCAGAGTGATTGCGATTTAAAAAAAGATATACATACCACGGATATCTTGAAAGGGGTGGTGGTCGATTCCAACATTAAGAGGGAGGGGGAGTAAGAACAACCCTATCAATTGGGAGATGCCGTGACCTTTGTGGGTTGGGATAACCTCGAATGACCTTGCCTCACTGGCATTTATATACACTACCTCGCAAAAGACAGTTGTTAGTGGGCTGGGGGAGGTGTGGGAAGGATGAAAGGGATTATAAGCAACCAAAACAACCCCCCAAAAGGAGTAAGGGATTGCATTTTCCAAAATATATATTATTTGCTCAATAACATACAGCACTACGATGGAACCAACTTGTGCTTTTTTAAACCACGGTTTCCCCCTGAATCGCCTTTTCCCTTCTGAAATCGAATTCTGGAGAAAGGACAGCTTAGGTAAACATTTACTGATGTGGAGCAACGATACTATATGATATGCAGGAAGGAAAGTGTTGATTAACACAGAAGGGGGAAAAAAGCGAAATTAGCTGATTGCATGCTCATAAGTGCAAGCTGTCATTGAACTGCTTTTAAAATAGACACAGCTGGGTGTTTGTGTTGCAAAAATTCTTGTGTTTTTGCTAATACTGAAATAAGCATGATTTTGTATACCAAACATTTTCGGATCATTAAAATTTGTAATCTGCGCTGGTTGTGGAACACAAAGAGGAGCAACCGATTCCTTTGGCTGTCGAATTTGCTGATATGATATTAACTCAATCAGGTCTTGACAATCGGGGCCATTGTGCCTTATCAAAGCTCTTTGATCCATTTAATACACAAAGTGCCCGACGTGGGCATTGTTTGTTAACATGGAATGGTCCCCCCCTCCAACAAAGCCCCTGCTCTGCAACCGAACGGAAGGAGAAAGTTTGTTTATTGTAACACTACATCGCCTGATGAAAATTTAATGCTCCGAGGTGTTCCTTAGGTCAGAGCTGCGTTTACACTGCCTTGGGATCCGGCGTGAAAATGAAGCAGGGAAAACACACAAAAGAAAAGCAAACAAACAAAGACAGTAGCAGAACGCCCCCGCCGGCCCACAGTAGTTATTCCTTGGTCAAAGTTTGACAAGTTAAATCCCTTTTCTTCCAAAATTATGGACATGAAATAGATGACCTATCAACTGTCCCCAACCTCTCCAGCACGAAAAAATGAAAGTCAAGAAGTCGGATTTCAATTCAGGTCCAACGCCCCCCCCCCCCCAAAAAAATTACACTATTTGTGCGCCATCCTTAACTGCCCTCTGGATCGGGCGTCGAATGGCGCAAAAGTCTATACAAGCAGCAATCTCGTCAGCTTAGCCTAGTGGCCAGCCTAGTGGATCTCTCCGGAAAGAGAGCAGGAGCCCTTTCCCAAAGGTCCCCTTCCCCGGCCACGACTCTGAGGTTGCGATGCTACAATGCTTGTTTTATTTCCCACTGATCATGCACGCCAGTCACAGGCGAATGGCTGTGACGCCAAGACTCACCCACCAACTAAATGGGAAAGCCTCGCGTCACAGGTGCAGGGGTTGATAAATCTGGGCTAAACCAAGGATCACTCCTCTGGCTGCTGCCCAGTCGCAAACACCAGGAAGGATCAGAACTCCTTCCCCCGCCCCAATTTTGGTCTTTATTATACATGAGTCGAAAAGGTATAAAGACACCCCTCCTCCGTTCATCGCTCAGAGAGTTTAACATGCAGCAGGAATTATTAATTCGCATTATCTTGGGAGGCGATGGGAGCCAAAGTCAAGCACCCTGGCGCTGCAATCCTGTAACTACTTAAGCACTGAACTCAAAGGGGCTCACTTCTTACATGACTGAGCTGTTTAAGTCACATCGATTTCAATGAACGACTCGAACCGGCCCTTTAAGTCTTTCTCATTTAAAAGCAATGGAGCCCTAAGATTGGTTGCTATGCTCCTTGCCTGCTATTTTGCGCGGCCTCTTTCATTGCAAAGAACTAAGAGGAACAACAACAAAATTCCCACCAAATACGGCATTTGTGTGTGTCCTCCTAACCCAACCAGAAGTGCATCTGTGTCCCACAGCCGATGGAAGGCTGTGGAGGTTTTGGTATCGGGCATTGGGGAACCAATGGGCCTCCTGATGTTGCTGGACTCCATCTCCCATCAAGTCTTGGCCTGCGAGGCCAATGCTCAGGGATGGTGGGAGTTGTAGTCCAACAGCAACTGGAAGGCCACAGATTCATCCTTCCTGGTCTAAGACGTCTGGAGGTTGTATGGCTCTTCGCTCTAGATGAGAGATGCAGAGCGCAGCTCTAGAATCTGCAGCCTCTTTGGGGTAGTCTAGAAAAGAGACTTTCCCGTCAAGCTTGAGAATGTGCCTGTGAAGAAGGACATAGCAGATGCTTGATCCGAAGCAAACGAACACGGCGGGTAGAAGAAAGCAATAGAAAAGGCAACAACTGCCCCCGCCCTTAACTCTTGGAGACACGGATTCGCCCCTTCAGTTGCCCATATTTATTTTCTGGAACGGGAGACAACTCCGTGCGCCTGCTTATTATGGTCCAAAGGGAAGCAAAACTCACTTTGCAATTAGGAGGTTTTAGGTCACGGATTTAAATCCCCACACAGTTCTCCCAACCCCCTCTACTGACTTCCAGGGTTCTTCACACACGGTCTTGGTGAAATTAAAATGAATCTGAAGGGCCAGGTCTTCAGAAAACCCATCACCTTATCTACACTAAATTGCTTCGAAAGTATGATGAGATAGCGCCATTGCTCTGCTTGACAGTGCGATCCTATACAGAACTCAGAAGCAAGTCCTATGGAATTCAGTGGCCCTTGTACGCCATGCACCTAAAGTTCCTTGTTTCCCCTCAAGAATCCTGGGAACTGTAGCTTACCCATAACAGACTAACAATTCCCTAAACCAGTGCTATTTTTCTAGAAAAAAAGAGGTGCCGGAACTTACCATGAATGCCCCCCTTGTTCTCTTATAATGGCAATGGCGCCCAACTGAGAGGTGCCAAAACGGAGTTCTGGCAAGTTCCCGCTGGAAAAAAGCCCTGACCCAAACCCTTGACAAACTACAGTTCCCAAAATTCTTTGGGGACAACAGTGTTTTTAAAATGCACAATGTGTAAGCAGCCAGCTTTGCAAACTGTTAGTGTGTGGAGGTCCCAAAGGGTGGCAGAGACTGCCCTGGGTCAAGACAGACCTTAGACGATGGGATTCCATTGCCCTTAACTTGGGAAGGCAATGAAGGCTTCTTAAATTCACTGCTAAAGGCATTGAGTAGCCTAAGCTGCGGTGTCACTGGGGTGATCCGAAGAGCCAAGAGAATACAGTAAACATAGGAAACGTCCCTCTACAAAGTCCAGCTCAGTATCTCCAGTTCAGACACAGAACCTCTCCCAGTTCTACCTGGAGATGTCGGGGATTGAACCTGTGACCTTCTGGACTCAAAACAGATGCTTTCTAGTACTTAGACGTGGTCCTAGGTGGAGAGACCCCTCGCTCTACCCCGGCTAGCTCGCCTCCCAACTTGGGACTAGAAACGTAGGGACTAGAGGGGATGAGGTGGACAAGGAAGGGTGGTTGCGCGCACGGAGATAAGAGAGGCAGATGCCAGCGAGGTAGAAAGAAAAAGGAAATTCAAAGGAGGTAGTTGGTTGATTGGAGCCACGAGTGTGGCGGGGGACGTTAGCTAGATATTAACCCAGACAGAGAAGAAAGAACGATTTCTCGACGGCAAGATGCACACGTAGAGAAAGAGCTAGGACTGTGCCGCCACCCTCCAAAAAAAGTCTCCCCCATCTCTGCTGTCAGAGAGGTCTCCTGCCTCCCTCGCCAACTCTGGTGTCACCCTTAGCAGCTGGGAACGGCGCGAACATCTAGTGATTAGAAGTTTCCCTCTTTAGCGTGTTGTAGACTTCTTCTGCGGGTTTTGGTTACAGGTTCTACGATTAGGTTGGCGAGAACAGTAGTGAACTAAACTTCCCAGTAAGAGGTCTTCACACCAGGGAAGTGTTACTTTGCCGCCGCAGCCCTGCCTCGTCACTCATTAGGAAGCCGCAGGTTGTCAGCGGCTTCTCCTTTCGTGGCGCGCACACGGGTGCGCGCGTTCACACACACACACACACACACCCCCAAAGCCCCGGCGCTGAAACTAAATTAAGAGAAGCACATGATTAAGAAGACAAGCGTCTACGGGGCCTGTCATTTCAGCATCCCTTCCATCATAACATTGTGGCACGAAGAAATTTGCTTGAAACCCTTAGCAAAAAAATCTTTTTTTAATGTATATATATAT